ATCTCAAACTGTGGGCCCTTCATTATATTTTCTCTCCCTGTCTAGCAGAGAAGAGGGGGTGATAGAGCAGCTGTGTGGACATCTGACCACCAGCCAGGATCAAACCACTACATCCTCCCAAGGTGTTGTATAGTCCTTCCTGAAGGTGGATGATAGCTGCAGCTCTAGAAAAGAGATGCCTTTTTAACCAAAGCAGCTGTAAAGCTGATGCTGCTGTGCCTTCAACACTGCTGGCCTCTGGGAAGCCCTGGGCAGAGCTGAGGCTCAAGGGACCCCCCCACCCCTCCATCTTTCTGTTGTGTGGAGCCCCAGCACGCTTCACCCCTGCCCAAGCTTTACCAGGAAGAGAAAACCTCAACATGTCCCAGCACTACCCACCCGCCGCTGTCATTTAATCCAGCTTTTCACCAGGAGACCCTGAAACTCTGCAGCACCAGACCTTGCAGCAAGAGAGGGAGTCACGTACTCACAACATGCTCCTGGAAGCACAGATGTGTCTACACATCTACATGGGGGGCAGGGGAACAATTAAACTTTGCAGTGCTTCTATCCAGTCCAGGCCCAGACCTTTGCCATCCTAACGCCATTCCTTTTCTGTCCAAACACAAGCAAACAGGCATCGTTTGAACCACAAAACACCCAGAGCTTTTCTCCTCGAGCAAGGATTCGGGGATAGTTGCTCTTGTTTAGGTAAGACATGCTTGGTGCCCAGGCTTGCTTTCTGAGCACAAACATGTGCATTACAGGCCATTGCTCCCCACATACCTCTGTTCCAGGTGACCAGGCTAGATTTTGGGGCATTTTGGTTTGGATTGTGCTTCAAGGTATCTCAAAGCAGATCACAGTTTAAACTCCATATCCTCAGTTGTTGTAAACTTCCTACAGGGACTAAGACAGCTTGCCTGGCAGCTGGAAGACAACACTGGTTCTCCTGTTGCTTGTAGTAAGGAGGAGCATGGTTACACCAGAGCAGGACTTGGACCTGCATCCAAGGAGTGGCTGCTTCCCATATACCACACTGATGGCAAACTAACTTTGCGCTCCTGCAGAGCAACAGCTTTGCCTATCTGCCCCCTAATGTAGGCAAAGCCAGATGCCAAAGTTCATCTGCACAGTGTGTTTCAGTTGACTGTGGGCTTTGATGAGTCTGAACAGAAGTGGATATGCACCAAAAAAAAAAAAAAAAAATCAACAAATTAAATGTCATAGAGAGTGAACACAGGCTGAGCCAAGCAGGGCAGTGCATGACTTGCTGTGTCATCAGTTGCATCAACAGGGCAACACTTAGAGGAGAACAAATGCCTCAAGTTTAAATGAGAACCAGAAGAAGAAACATTGCTCTATGTGCAAAGAAAGTACCTTAAGCCACCCATCAGGTTCTTGGGATGACTCAGGATTACCCATTCAGCAGCAAGCCTATTTTCATATAGTGATGCAAGCTCCAGTTTGCTCTTAATAGCTGAAGCCCAGGACCAGCAAAGAGCCCCCTTCCCACCATCACTCTCCTGCCATCACTGCTCCAGGCTCATACAAGACAGACCCCCAGGCAAAGAGAGCCCCACTCAGAGGCCAGTCTTTCTGGTCTGGCCCCAAAATAGCATGATGCATCAGGAACCAAAGTGAGTGGCATCATTCTGACGTGAGCCTGAAAACCCTGTTTGTGTAAAGCACATGGAAGCAGCAGACAAGTTCAATTAATTTGCAGTTTCCCTAACCAGTGCTGTATTTTAAGTCAGAAATGTTTTGAAGCAGGACATCTTCACTGATTTCAGACCAGTACTTCATCCTGAAAATGCTGCAGCAGCTTCTGCAAGGAAAGTAACTCTACACCTAAGGAGGGGAAGAAACCAAGGTACTTCAGCTAGATGTAGATTCAGGAAATGGAGAAGCAAGCTTCAACATTACATTTATATTTCTATAGCATGAAACATCCACAAGGATTGAGCACAATACAATTCATCTTTGAACTGTGGAGCTCATGTTGAGCATACTCTCAGTTCAGGCATTAAATCTGAGGGTCATTAGTTAGTGTATTTAAACCAATCTCATGTAAACATAACACTCTAGTCTCAGCCCAGCTTGTTTGCATAGGTTAGATTAGAGTCTGTTACTTGCCAAATCACAGGAACTTCTCTCCCATGTATCTGAAAGACAGAGGTATTCCAGGGCATTTGCTTCTTATCACTTGGCTGTAGTGGAAAATCTCATCCCTTTAAGTACACAATTCAAATTAGTGGATCCTGGCGTGGTCAAATTTCTACACCCAGACCGGTGCCTTGGTACCAAACGCTCAGAATCACACTCAGGAACACCATTTCCTCCAGGTCTTCTGGCAGCACCGTGACCTGCAGCACACAGCCGTCGGTGTGCGGCAGGGTAATCACCAACTACCTAGGAAGGGTTCACCTCTAGACCCAAAACAATCAAAGCAGATGACCCCAGGTAGCTTGGCTGAGACCTGAACAGCACAGCAAGACTTAACCCTCACAGCTGTTGCTCAGGGCAGGGTAAGAGCACACACAGGGAACATACAGAGGTTAGCACTAAGGGCAGCTCTGAGTAGCCTCTACATTCCACGGCTTAATGCTCTAAGATTAGGCAAGGAGTTAGACATAGACTACAGATAAGTAATTATAAACAAAAATATAGAATTTTTTCCGACCAAGTTGGAGCACCACTTTGCTGCAGCCTTGCACACAGAAATAAACAACTGCAGGAAGATGGAAGGCAAAGATGCTGCCCCTTGAGGCTTACAATCCTACAGAGCATGAAACAAGCATCTCCATGTTCACAGATCAGCTTCAACTGGTAAGACACAACTCTCCTAAGGTATTTGCATTAGCCTTGCAAGTCAGCAGACTTCAGACATGAAACACAAAGACTGGCCATTATCTGGAAGGTTGACAATCCCAACCCGCTTTGGCAGTAAGAACAAAGCCCATATGTTTGGAAAGCATTTTCAAACTTTATTTACAACTGTCACAGTGACAAAAATGTAGTTTGAAAAAAATGCTAGCTTCTCCCTGAGGCTCAAAAAAGAATTACAGAAATATAGAATGTATATCATACAATAGGAGGAGTTTTACTGGAGTGCTTTGTTCTTTAGATACGTTCAACAACAAATAGAAATATACACAATACTTCCAAAAAAAAGGATGCAGACAGAAATATGCAAGTCTTTAGGGCAGACAGCAGGTCTGAAGTCCAAGGATTGCCATCTCATTGCTGCCCACATGGTAACATCTTTGATATACAGCTTTGACTTGGTGGTACAGACAGTAGAGACAAATAGAGAGTAACACTTAGAAATAAGATGACTGGCTGGTATGCAGGTGTACAAGCTCATTCCAGTAAGACAGCAAGACTAGAACAAGTGTTACAGATACAACAGCTGAATCCATCGCTAGAGAAAATGGTATCATCACATCATGACGGTTCAGTGATCAGCTGTCCACCAAGATGGGCTGGGAGCCCGTGTAACTGGGTCTGCATTGATGGACCAGAGATCAGCTGCAGCGTAGGAACACTGAATTTCTCCCGCTTTGTGCTAACTTATCTCCAAACTCCTATCTGTCTGAAACAGTTATGCAGAGCTGATAAATTATTGCCATTATGTTTAAACACAAGCAAGACAAAACAATCCTGCCAATATGTTAAAAGCAGTTCCCAACCCCCAACAGCGTTTAACTACTCATGAGGTATTAAAAATATGAATACACACATGTCCAAATAGATTTCAAAAATGGAACCAGTTATAAGCAAAGGGGGGTGGCATTGGGATTATTATGAAAGTTTGGTTAAGGCCTTGACGTTTCTTTTTCTCTTCCATGATCCCAGATTTGGTTTAGGTGGTAACTGTTCTCATCCTATCCCAACACCAACTGGCTCCCAAGCTGGTCCCCAAAGCCACAAGATTATCACTTTCCAGGAAAGCAGCAGGTCACCCTATCTGGCAGACCGGCCTCCTCCCCAAATGGAGGCAGATAACTCCTCCTTGAAGCAAGATATGGTGAAGAGGACTCAAGCACAGACTTTAAAAGCCAGTCTGCACCCACACTATGAAGAAGGAACACATCTTGTCTCATGACACCAAGGCTAATCCTCTCCCAGCAGACCTCTCCTGCAAACCCACTGGTGATCCACACTAGAACTGGTGTTTTGTCTTTGGGTTACCTCCAGGTCTGGCAGCGCTCCCTACCAGTCTGTCCCGCACAGACGAGGCCCTGCAGTGCAAAGCCAGAAGAGATCCTTCACCCCAGCCCTCTCAAGCCCTTTGACAGCAAGTTGGAGACACAAAAACCTACCGCCTCAAGGACACCAAGGTAAGGAGGCATAACCTCCACTCTCTCGTTCTGGGCACTGCACAAGACAAGACCAACCACAGCAGCCTTGGCAAATAGGAGAGAAGAATCTGAGGTGTTCAAGCCTACAGGAAGCTCTTGCTGCAGACAGAAGCATCTTTACGCACGATGCGCATCACCCCATGCTAACCACCTGCAAGATAAACTAGGGCCTTGCAGTAGAGATGACAAGAAGCAGCCTAACATTATCCTGCAAATAGAGCTGTTTAGCATTGAAGAGTCTAAAGGCAAACAGAGGGGGAGAACAGCTTTGGGAAAAGTGGCTGGAAAACAGGCTCAATGGCAAGAAACCCAACTACTCCTATGGACACTCAACATTACCCTAAGGAGGTGCCAAACCGGGTAGAGCTACAGCCCCCTCATCAGTAGAGCATTTAGCCATGCTTTGCTGCAGACACCCTTCTACCCCCACCTGGCAAACAAAATGGAAGCTGTAAGAAAGGCAAATCTGAGAGATTACAGCTCTGTTCTCATGCTTTTAGCTGGAGGCAGCTCCTGGCCAAACGCTGCTGCCTCTGACTTTCCTCTCCCTCCCCGAGCTCCCCCCCTCCAGCAGTCCTCGCGTGGTCACCCTCTGCCATGTGCTTGGAATTTCACTGCTGCCTCCGCCTCGGAAAAATACAGATAATGATCTTGAGAACAGCAAACATTTCTCTGCGTTACTTCCTTCCTTCCTCAGGAGGTCTGCTGACACTGAGGGCTTCAGTTCTCGATACAGAGAATACAAAAAAACTAAGATCTCGCAGGTGCAAAATTGAACTTGTCTTTTTTTTTTTTTTAAAAAGACTTTCAAAGAAGTGTGGCTCTTCCTTCAGAAGGGTGCGGTCCCTTGCCTCTCCTCAGATGCCATTTATTGCTCCTTGTCCTTCTTTGCATCTTCACAGTTTTCTTCCTCCTCTTCCTCCTCCTCCTCCTGCACAAGGAACTCTTCAGGTGGCCATCTCAGCTCACCGCTCTCCACATCACCCTCCGTTGGCTCCACCACGATGGAGGGCAGGCGGTCTTTCAGCTTACAGTAACGGTCAAAGTCTGAGGGGTCAGGGAAGATCTGAAAGAGTCAAGAAACAGTCTGTGAGAAGGGTTATATTCAAACAGTCTTAGTCAAAACCCAGCTCAAGACACTCAAATTTTCAGCACAGACTAGTCTGGACACAGAATAAAGTACTGTGTGATGGGAAGACTCTTGAGCTTGTAAACAAGCTTCTCTAAAATCTGAGTATTGGAAATAAGCACTGCCGAATACACTTCCAAAGCACACGCTTGCCTGGATAGCACTCAGCCAACAGGCATCTGCCTTTTTGGATATTTATCCAAACGCCTCACACACACACCCACAGACACCCCGTGCTTTTGTATTAACTTGGTGTGCAAACTCATGAGCATTATCTCGAGCAGAGAATCTGAGAACTTGTTTCCTGCTGTTGGTCAAGCTACACATGAGAACAGGCACGTGCTCCAGGCTCTGCTGTTAGAAGGGAGAAGGTGGCACATGGCAACCCAGTTTTAGCTAAGTCCAGACCCTTCCAGCAGGAGCCTGCATCTGGTATCACTCCAGGGCCGCAGCACTAGACTGAAAGAGAAGGGCAGCTGGATTTTTAGAGATCATTTAGGCTGTTTCCTCCATGCAACAGCTACCATACACCATGAGGGAAACCTCAGCAGAAGGACACTCATCTTATGGAAGGGTTGGAGACTGGCCCATCTTTCTTCAGGCAGGAGGTACGTGTGACACAGCCAGCAGTTATATCCCTCGTGCAAGGAATGTGGGGACCCCCTTCTCTCCAGCCCCCTAAGGTGCACACAGAGCAGCACCTCACCCCTTCCCTCCCACTCCTCGCTTGCCACGTGCATGCACAAGCTCATGCACTGCAGCAGCACCAGGGTCCACATCAGCTGGCAGTGTCACTGGGATGGACACTTTGATCCTACTAGGAATAGAGGTAAAGGCACGGATGAGTACAGAAAAATCTGTCATTGCAGCGCAGTAATAGCAGGAGCTTTGCATGACTAAATTGCAATGCGAACAGAAAAGGCTGCTCCTCTGCTAGGATGCTCTGCTAGGGGAACAGCTTCAAATCCCAGCTCATCCACAAAAGAGCTGCTTGGTGACAAGAACCAGTTGCCCTAGCATATTCCCTCGCTGGTAACCAGAAGACTAAACAATTAGGGTACCCACTTCACACTACAGTTACCTTTAAGCGCCCGAAAGAAGATAACGACAACACGCACTGTTGTCATTATCAACCCTCAAGGTTGCAGACCAGGTGAGGAGTCAGGCACTGTCCTTAAACACCAGCTGCCTTCAAGTGAGCCGTATGAGCGTCCTTGCACGAACAGCACTGCCAGCCTCAGCCAGGCACACCTTTTGTGGGTGCCTCCATCTGACAGTAAGATCTCACCTACTTCAATCTCTGCAGTTCCAGTCACAAAAGCAGGTTCCCCATCCAGGAACCCTGAGCATAAACCATGAACAGCTCTCCTCATGCCATTCGTGCAGGTACCCACCTCCTTGGGAAGCCCCGGCCCAAACCCTGAGGTAGAACAATATCTTATCAACTTGTCCTTCAGTCTAGCAACTATTAACTACACCACTACCTCCTTGTCCATATTCAGTCTTCTACTGTTCAACCACCTTTCTTCCTCGCATCCAAAGCTTTGTGGCAACAAAGCTACCAACTTAAGAAAGCCATTAGGTTGCTGCATCATGCAAAGTCAGGCAAGATAACTGAAGGTAATGCACAGTGCAGGGGCTGTCTGCACACCTCCAACTGGTCCCAGGGACAGTCGTGCAGGAGCCCAGCTCCCACCACTCACGTGCTTTTGAGGTGCACAAGAGCGAGCGAGGTCGTTGAACTTGGCCATGGTGACATGGGCACTGTGGTATAAGCTACCTGTTGTTAGTCACTGCTGGCAAAAGTGAGACAGAAACTGTTTCTTGGAGCTCTGTGGCTTCTGCTTGGCCAAATAAAGGCACTTTCAGACACATTACTGGAAGCAGTCGGTGGCTCTTAAGCATCAACTTGTTATCTAAACTCAGGATAGGAAAAAAATTACCCTTGACATTACATGGTTTAGAAAGTTGCAATGGAAAAAGAAGTGTGGTTCAGGAGGTTACATAAGCTGATAATGTCATGAAAATAACCTCCTGTGCAAGAAAAATAGCAGTACAATAATTAAACTAACCTTTGGCTGCTATCATTTTAAGCACATTAGGTCAAATTGGAGCAGTTTCTTTGAAAATAGCCTGCCAGATTTTTTTTTTTTCCAGAAACTAAGTAGTAGTCATTTCCTTACAAACAAATATCCCCAAAATGTGGTGCACAGCTTTTTTAATAATAAAAAACCTAGCACAATCTTATCTCAAACAGCTGCAGGACAGGCTGAATCCAAGAAGGTCAGGATTTTTTCCACTAAGTCATGCTTTTTAATCATCGAGGCAGCATGAAGCAAGATGTTGCAACTGCATTTTCAAGGGGTGTGGACAGTCAATGGAAAAAATACACAGAGGCAGATTTCCTCGCATGTGACAGGCAGGGTGACACAGCAAGCCAAGCACAGGGACCAAAGGAAAACGGGCTTCAGATTAAGACTGTTTGTACATCCGCGGAAGCCAGGTGGAGAAGTTGTCCCAGCCAAACTCTCCCCTCACTCCGAAATAAGCTGCGATGCCAGGCTCATTATCAAGAGAGATAAGCAAGCACCAGCTTTCTGCTGTACCACATCAATAGTGCCGTGCTGCATCTGTTGGACCCATATTCCTAATCTGGTCCCAGATTTTCTAGGAAGAAAAAAATTAAACCCAAACAACTCTGAAACTTGCAGCAAGGTCCCCATTGGGAATGCAGCAGCTCACCTCTGACCTGTGAGCTCTGCACCTTTCTGCACAGCAGCCAGCACAGCTTGCCCAGCAAAACCTGCCTACGAGCTTTTCTGCTCACATCACCCAGCTCAGACATGTGGGAGGAAGGCTTTGCATCGCCCCACCACACGAAGAGCACAGCAGCAGTGGGTTAAATCCCCCCGCTTTGTTTCTCAGAAAGAGCCACCTTGCACACAGATGAAGAAAACGCCTATTCCTGGCTGATCTGGTCACTTGATGGGGGACAAGCGACAACCACCAACTGCCTGTGGAGGCTACCCAAAAGCAAATTTAGCAGCAGTTCAAAGGTATCTTCCTCCTCCCCACTTGCATGATATAGCATGAGGGGCTGCAACTGCTTCTGCAGAGCACCTCCCCTTCTGTAGCCGAGCCCTAGCTCCTGGTCCACAGAAAGATCCACCCAACACCTGAACAAATCACACAGGACACGTATATTTCTTCTTACACTAGTCAACACAGCTTCTCTCATTTGCAGCAAGACTGGCTTTCACAGGCACCTCCCGATTATGTTTTGGGCTCTGTTCTCCTCACAGACTGACCCAGACCACATATAAATCAACCAGCCTCGCAGCTGGACAGGGCAGCAAAAAGCAGAACTTGAAACGAAAGCTTAAAATTATTTTAGAAGAATCATGTTTGCCTTTGTTTCAGATGATCTAGCTCTACTATCCTCAACTAAAGTCTTGGCAACAAGAACGGAAAGTTTTCATTGCCCTGGGGAGGCTCATACCCTCCCTCAGCATTCACAGAGATGGAGAAACACCAAAAGCAGGAGAGATGTCAGACAACTAAGAGGATTAGCTCAGCACTACCATAATCCAAGTGACACTTGTAAATTCAAAACAACTTCCACATGTGTACTCCATACCAACACCCACAGTTAAAATGCTTGTCTTGCCTCCCATGGGGCTGAAAACAATTTCAGTCTTATTACAGGGAGTCTAAGGCAAAAAGATCTTTCCAAATTAAGTTACTCTGGGGGGGGGTGGGTGCAGTGGGAAAGTTTCTCTTCATTGTGGTACCACTACACAAGACTGAGAAGCCTTCACTGAGGCATCCCACTACAGGTATTGGATACACCCCTGATGTACAAGTACCACTCATCTTCCCAGTACTGAAAAGCTAAGTTTTGTGCCTCTTCAGCAGTATCAAGCCAATAGTCAAAATAAATATTTAAGTTATTAAAAAATTACTGTAAATGAGAAGCACAGCAAGCTCATCTCAGGAAATATTTACATCATCTCTCAGCATCCTCTTTGGAGGAATTTTCCAGCTATAGGAAGCAGTGCTAACACATACATTTACTCACATAGTAGTCATGACTCGAAACTGAGCTCCATGCAGTATGCACACAGCAGCCTGTGACTCAGGTTTCTGAACCATGACAACTCTGCAGTCACGGACAGATTGCCCTGTCTTGGGGGACGGTGGTAGGGAAATTTCACAACAATTTTCCATCAGAGTAACAAGGCATCAAGGAGGCAGGAAAAAAACATGCACTGAGATGTTCCATTTAGCTGCTGTCTTCAGGTCGCTTTTCAGCGGAACACTTTTTTTTTTTTGCATACCATCACTGTGAATGTGATTAGTTTTGGCTCTGTTTATCCCATATCCTGCTTCTGCCTTCATTTAAGGTCTCAGATCCTGGAATACACATTGACTCAGCCTATTAATCTTGTCTAGTAAGCATGCATCGGATAAGCTATGTGAACAAGTTCTCCTAAAATCACTTGCTATCCCCCACAACCCTGCAGGCCAGTCTCAAGACCTTTAGTAGCAGCGAGCGCCAGGTCTAACGCAGGACTTCCTCTGCATAAATCAAGGCTGCACAGACATGAAGCACCTTAGAAGCAAACAGGACAATTACAAAGGAAGCTCAGTTTCCACCCTTTGCCACCAGCCACTGGGTCAGCAACGTGGTGATCCCCCAGCTGAGTTGGGGCTAAACTAACTGCTGATCCCCTAGTTTAGTTTAGTTAGTTTAGCTCCAAGCACCACAGCTCCTTCACTGGTGCTGGTAAAGGGGTGTTGTGTTCACCAAAAATGATTTTCCCCAACAAGACAGACAACCCAAGCTTTCGCTGCAGACACTGGCTGGCCCATTAAGCCTATTTACCTAAACTCAGCCAGTCTGACACGACTCACAGCTAGCTGTGGCTGTGATTAACCCAGACAGATCCCAGCGTGATGCGATCATGACTTAAAAGAGCTCAAGCTCCCCATGACAACCAAACCCCAGCTGATGGCATGAGGGCAAGCTCAGCCTTCGCAGGGCAATCTCCTAAAAGGGAGCCTAAGGTCCCGCGGGACCAGCGAGCCAGCCGGTCTGCAGCGAGGTAGCACATTCAACTCAGGATGCAGCACTCGCCCAAAATAAACCACTTCGAACATCGAGGTGTTTTCAGTTGTGCTCAGACCCTGCTCCGCTTCCAAGAAGCAAGGCGGGATTCAGGTCAAGGCACTGTTTTGACAACAGCTCTGCAAAATGATTAATTCAGCCTCAGTTTCAGTAACGTTGTTCGTGCTGCTGCGAGACGGCATTAGAGGACAAGCTAGCAGAGCACTGATGAGGCTTTTCAGAGAACAGGTATATCTAGAGGCTGGAAAACAGCAAATGGTCCATTAGCTCTGACTAGCTGTGGAAAAGGCCCAGCTCACCGGAGACAGCCAGGCATGAAGCTCTTCATAGGCACATCTGTTTGTAGCAGGGGCATCTTGAGCCATCAGCTGCATTTCAACGAGGATGGGGGTTTTTTTGTTGTTTAGCAAGTCCCATGGGAATTATGGGACATCTATTAAAGATCCAGAAATAGCTCTTCACTGCAGGCACAAGACCCAGCATGACATCATCTCTTCAGCTGCGTCTTCTGTTGTGTCTATGCCATCCTGTTCTGAGACTCATGCCCCAATTTCACATTCACTTCTGCTCAGGCCCTTTAAATCTCTTGGCTGAACCATCTTCAGGGGGCTCAGAAAGCAGCTTTACGTCTCAAATACAGTAATAAAAGCCGCTTTACATAGAAAGGTTTTGAAATTAGCACATCAGCTTACAAGCTTTTTGTGTATTAACTGTAAAAAAGCATTTCTATGCTGTGAAAACACATTTTGCAAATGAAACTGTACGAATTACTAAGCCTACAGCAGCAACTGTTATCACCAACATGACTTCTGCCATCTGAGCTTTCAGATCATTGCTTAAAGAGCAGTGATGGCCAGCCCACCAAAGCCCAGGAGGTGAAGGGTGCCTATCTCCAACTGATGCCTAGACAGACAGACACTCCAGAGCATGAGCAGAGGCAAGGGGATGGAGGAGGCCGAAGGAAAGAGTCCACAAGCCAAGTTCCCTCCCTCTGTAACCAGTGAGACAGAGAGGAGCCCTCAAGTTCAGTGAACTCCACAGGATAGAGGAATCAGATTGCTGAAGGTTATACTCAGGGTATGAGTTTATTTGCTTCCTCAGTTTACTTCCAAGTAAAGGCAAAAATACTTTTGAGATAGTACAGTTGGCAGGACAAATCTGTCTGTAGCAGATACTGATGTGCTTTATGGTTCCAAAGCTTCTGCACCATCTCCTCTGTTCCAGAGAGTTTTGTGTCTGCATATGGGGGCAGAAGCAGACCCCAGGCTCACAGGGGGCATCCTAGGGACTAACTCCCAGGCAGTCTCACCTCTACACAGCCTAAAGGGGAACATTTTGAACCTCAATTTGAGCTCATCTCTGTAGTAAAATAAATCCAAGTTCTACCACTAGAAAAAGAGAAACTTTCAAAACTAAATACTTGCCTCCCCCAGTTCTGGCTCTAATTTTTTTTTTTTTTTGCCTCTCACAGCCAGCCATGGGCTGGTACACTCGCATCGTGAGTGCCCAGATCTGTAGATGAGTGGAGGAAGATGTTGCAGCTTAGAACAAGCCTCAGTGTAGGAGCAGTCATGCTCCATTAGCCCTGTCTGGTTTTAAGTTATTGCACTACAGTCCTAAGACTAGCACACAATTTTCCACGTACCAAACTCTCACCACCAGCAAGATGAAGCAGAAAAGTGGCAAAGTCTGAGTCAGAACAAAGAGTTCATGGTGTGACTTGCATCAGATTTGTTCTTGGCTGTTCTAACTTGAGTTTTCAGCCCTTTAAGGATGCTTTCAACTTACCTGGATTTACACTATGACATTTTCAGCCTAGTAGCCAGAGAAGGAAGGCTGCAGCCTGCTCCCCAATTCTCTTTACACTAACCTGATTTAGAGACAGACCTCACACAGCCCACACACCACCAGCATCTTCCATTTCAACACCTCAATCCTTGCTGCCATTAGTTTGGCTTACATCAGGGTGAAGTACAGGTTACCAGCTCTTGCAGGCATTTGAAAAAAAATAGTCATCTATGACTAGACCACTATAGAGAAGAGATGCAGAATGTAAAAGCCCTATATAGATACAAGTCATCAGCATTTATGACTCATGCACCTTCAGGTTCAGATGATCCACTCAAAACTGAACAGGCCTGCTCCCCACTTGGCCCAAGCAGACTTATCAAGGTCATTAGCACTTGGGGAAAAACTTCACTGGAGCAATCATTAGAACAAGCAGGGCACCTAGATTCTGCCTCTCATTGGAAAATTTGGATAGGTAAATAGAGGCATTTGACCTGGCTGGGTTAAGATTCTTCCCATAGTGATTCACAAAGACAACTCAAGATCCTACACAGGCTAGTTTGATTGCTTCAGGCTTAGCAACCACTTCTGTTGCTGCACACTCCCTCTATAGGAGAGGAAAAAGAGGCCATATACTTTCCACTAACTCAAGCACTGAAGCACAGCTATTTCTACACACCGGCAATACACCAAACAACTCGGACTCCCCAAGATCCAGCATTCGGACCAAAAAGCAATGCATCCCCTTCTCCTCCCCGTAGCTTCAGCTTCTGCTGGAAGCCTCAGCCACGGCCCAAAGTTGAGTTGATTTCATGCTTCAGCACACTATTACGACCTTGTAGCTCATTTTTTTCAGACACAAATATGCAAGCATACAACAGCACACCTCATTCGCATGAACAACTGCCTCTGTGCTGGTTGTACAACAACTGCAAAGGAAGAACCCTGCATCAGGATAGGCTGGGAAGAGTCACCCAACACGCAGATCAGATGCGAGTCATCTGCATTTACTCAGCACCTACATTAAATCTCATCAACAAGTCTCCTGGAAAAGTAGGAAAACATGGATCTAGTAGGCTAAGATGCAAAACTTGACTTTTTATTAACTACAAGCTAGAAAATGAAAGGAATATTGAGACTAAAGGATCAAGGCTCAAACTAATTTCTAAGACCACCTCTTCAGCCCACTCATTGATCTCAAGGTTAATAGCTAATTACACTAGTAAAAACTTTGAAAATGAATGCAGCTCATGCCTTTAGGGAGGTATCTCCAGGGTCATTTCAAGGCCTGTTTAGGATGTCTCTGGCCTCACTATATCTTATATAATACTCTCTCAAATGGACACATCACTCAAGAAAACCAAGAAACAGATAAAAGAAAAATAAATGTAAGTGCCATATAAACAGCTCCCTCCTGGTCTAGGCAGATCGCTTGTATGCTGTGTTACACAGACATCTCAAGAGTCCTCTCAGCTCAGTGAGTGGCAGAAACCTTTCTTTAACCCATCTCCCACTAAGCCCCCAAGAATGCTGAATGAGTGAGGGCTCGATGACTTGAGAAACAACTAAGTCCTTCACCAATCCAGTCTGATACCGAGTGATATTTTAGACAACCAGCTCCTGCCAAGCAAGCATTCCAGTCTGTTGACTAGTTCTCACTACAGCAAGACCTGCTATTAGGTCAGGCTGTGGAAAGGTACATTAGACCGAGTTTGCAGTCCAGCCCCGACAATTCCATGGGAGATTTACTACCTAAGCAGTCAGCGAAGCACTTACCTGATACGACAGGCCATCCTTGCGGGGGCTTAGCCCAATCTCATCCATAGCTGGGGTGTTCATCATCACTTCGGTCATTTCAGCTGATCTCAGATAATCAGAGCTAGAAACAAAAGACAGCATTCAAATGATTCGAGGGGCTCCAGCGGGGGCTGAGCAAGACTGAAGCAGCACTGGGAAAGAAAGGCAAACAGAAGAGGCTGCCGGCAGTCTATTTCTGGTCCCTTCCTTCCTGCCTCCCCTTGGAAGGGGCTGGAAAATGCTCCGGCCCTGGTCAGCCGGCGCTGCATCCCCTGGCAGCAACTCCCCGACTCCCTCCCCAGGAGCACGCACGGCTCAAGAACGCCTCGGGAGGCTTTAACAGCAGCGGGGCACTTCTAACTCCACTTCTTCCAGCTCTGCCCCCTAAGGGGGGAAAGTAAAAAAACACAGCAAATAAGTGCAAGCGCTGTGGGGCTTTTGTTGCTATTTTTCCGTTGCTTTTTCGTTTCTTTTTTTTTTTAAGCTGGTGCGCTTTAGCCGCTGCTGCCTGATTTCACAACCTCAGGGGCTTCCACATGAGCGGAACGCGCGGAGCCCATC